GATTGACAGATGACCGTTGATATATGATTGGCCGAATTTAGGTGTTCAGGCTGACGTAGAACTAACTGGTCTGCAGAGGATAATGGAAAAAACAGAATTTAAAACAGGATTTTTTAACATAGAAATTTTCTAACTTTTAGAATAATATTGTCTGATAAAAAGTACATTTATACACATGTTTAAGCCAGAATGATTTGAAATTTAAATATGACTTCTCTATGATTTTAAACTGAAGTACAGGTGCAGAGGGAAGGGAACAGTCGGGCAGCGTTTCAGGTAATGACTTCGCCAACGCCACACGCTGCCGACTGATCATGTATTTATTTGAGGTTAAGATGTTTTGAAAGCGGGAGCCTGAACAGATGATCGAAAACACTCCTGTGGATTCTTCTTCGCTGGTATTCAGCAGCTTTTTTCTTCTGGTTGGCATACTGTGCGTTGAAATCAGAATGTATGGAAACGATTTCAGGGGAACAGAAAGGTTAGAGCTGCCCAACCCAATTCACGCCCGAAAAAGGCCTTCATCACTGAGGAAGACTCACCGATGGTTGTTCAAAGTGTTTGATGCTAAAACTGCTGATGGAACCGGGTACCGGGTTTGTTTGCTGATTGGAAATATTGAAATGTAACAAAAAAGTTCAACTTTATGGACACGGCGTTCAGAGGCTGGTGTCCTAGCGACCGGCGCAGTAAACCTACTTTCTCCTTCCTTGCGGTCGGTTCCTGAGGCTCCGTCTGCAACCCCAGATGAGCCAGAGGCGGCGGCGGCGGCCAGCTCCGTCAGGGGCCCGGCTAGGTTGTCTATGCTGCTGGCAGCTGACAGACAGGACGGCGTGGAGGCGGGGGAGATGACTGACGCGCTCACCACCGTCGCCTGAGGCTTGAAGCAGCTGGGCAGAGCGTCTGGCGGCATGGCGTCCATCAGCAGGGCTCTGATGTCGTCCGCCTGCAATGGCAGCCCAGAACACATTGAAAGATGTGGTAACCTTAGACTGCATGATTCCGTCTGCTGCGAATTGGCCGTTTATCTTACAGCGGCCCATACCGTGGCCAGGTCCAGAGCGGTCTGGCCCTCTTGGTTCTTCATGGTGGGGTCGGCTCCGTGGGCCAGCAGCAGAGCGCAGAGCTGCGTTCGGCCTTTCTGCGCCGCCTCATGGAGAGGCGTGAAAGCCCATTTGTCTGTTGCGTTTACACAGGTGTTGTATTTGATCAGCAGGGCTGCGATGTCCACGTGCTGAAGGAGATACGGGGGAAGACATGGAGAGGAGGAAGCCGTTAGCTGACAGTTTTCATCTTTTCCACTGGGATTTATTTTCAGATTAAAGGTCAGTTTAAGCAACAAAATCTTCTTATTTCCACAGAAAGTCATTAAATAAATGAAAAAATATCAACTCAGAACCAAAAACCTGAATAAGCTGCACTCATTTGAATATCAGCTAATGATGCTAATAAACACTCAGCTAAAAGTGTCCAAAGTAGGGATGAAACAATCAGATTAATCGACTAATTTGGTAATTAATCGTTAACTGGAGTATAGAGACTGTAAA